TGAACTTTTGGCACAACTTTTTCAATTCCTGACAAAAACATTTTGACATATTAATTGCTTATGGAAAAACTTTACGATCCAACTTAAATTTTATTAAACAGGATCCAGCATGACCGAATGGGGATTCCATGTCACTGGTACTTGATGCTTTCAGATTTCTCCACTGGTAGGATTGGATTTGTGTTATGATTGGCGAGAAAACTTTGTTTTCTGTAAGCTTAGGAAATGTTATTATGTATACATTTGGAGAATTTGACTGTTTCTGGCCATTCCTCCTATAGGAGGACTTGAATATTGATAATTGAACATGTCCATTCTTCAATCTGTGACTTGTCCACTGTGTATCTAAACCAATCTATTCTGATCAGTCAAACAAGATTCCCTTTACAAATGCCATTTGGTTGAACTTTAATCAAAACAGAACTTGTCTCAAATATACACACAATTCAGAATGGCTGAGGGAGAACGAACCCCATCACAACCTGCCCATTATGAATCCTCAGAAAATGTATTCCTCAACAAGCTGAAACTGAACCCTGGACTTCATGGGTAACTTAAGGTATTGATATCACTCAGAAGCTGAGCATGCAATGATATCACCTATCAGAAATCAACCATATTTGATCATATTGAACCCCCAGGCACCTAACCATGACATACCATGTTCTGGCAAATGAAATATTAAACCTCAAGAAGAGCAATCAATATGCATTTAGACACAGTGGTACCCACACATCTTTCAAACTTTAGTGGTAGTCTCAGATCTTTCAGTCCTCTAGTCAGTCAGACACCTTTCAATCCTTTAGTCAGTCACACTTCTTTCAGTCTTTTGATCATAGTCATACACATTTCAATCCTTTGGTTGTAGTCATACACCTTTCAATACCGGTACTTCACAGGTAATAACTCACCTTTCAATACCTTAGTGGTTGTCAAGCTACTCTCAATACTATATTGATAGTCAATACCATGTTACCAAAAATCATATCTCGTGACAGTTGACAAAATACCTGGAACAGATTGAACATCATCTGCAGTTAGGATATTAATGACTACAATTATGAAAACACATAAAAACATTCCCTATGTTCATTCTGACACAATACTTATTTCCACTGAAAATGGAACATGGCTGTTGTTTTGTCTACAGTACACTATCAACATGTCTGACCTTCCTCTTCATGAACACAAGTGGTGAAGTGAAGCTTGTTTGAGTTCTCTGTAACATATAAATAGTTCTCTCTAAAATATAAGTATCATCAACGCTTCTTGAAATGTCACTCATACCAGCACACAAATTTACCCATTTTCACTCAAGTTTTTACATCATTCTTTTCACCATGTTCACTGCAATAAATTATGCATTATTAGTACATAATAAATATTTAATACAGGTTCCTATTTTTCAAAGAAAATTGTTACGATATGTGAAAATGTACATTTTCGCGATTTGCTAAGTAAACCCCAAAACACTCATTTCTCCTTTTCATGAATCTCCTATGTTGCTGTTGCTGCACCCACCCCCATTGTTGGCCCCTCCCATGTGTTCTGAACAGTCTCTACAAACTGTTTACCACACCATCTGATATGCAGTCAAGCTAGTTTGAACATCGTGTTGAAACATAGTTCAAGTTAGTGTAGCGACTTGCTTTAAAGAGAAAGAAAACCTTGTTTTCCAATTGCAAATCACAAGAGCAAACTTGCTTGCTTTACATCAACAAGAGGACTCTTGCCAAAAATGTGAGCCCTGCCGTCAAGACGTCTAGGCATGCTCACAGCCTCCTAGCCCCTCACACTCAAGTTTACACATCCAGTTTAGGCTATTACCTGTGAACAGTTAAAACATGCAAAAAATGAAACTGTTGCTGCCAACAAATTTTTTTACAAGAGAGGTTTTCTTTGCTAGTTTGATGTTGACACTTGGTTAAGAAAGTTGGTTTTCGTTCAACAAAAAGTATGAATTTAGCAATTGTGTGACAAAAATGAAAGTTTTCTTCACTGAACATTTGCACACAATGTTTTGCATCCTTCTGGCTGGCACTCAATGTTGTCATATTTCATGAAACAGAAAAGTAGAAAATGACATGCATTCCTTCAACAGTTGAATCAGAAAGTATTCTAGTGAGTCACTTTCATTTACTTTGTGAGTGAAACAACAAATGTAACAAACATAATACAGTTTCAAAATAACATACATAATTATTTTTATTTTACTTAGCAGTTAATGGTATGTCTTTTGTATGATGGCTCAAAGCATAGGGCCAACTCCACACAGCTGAAAGTGTTGATAATAATGATTTTCTCCATCTACTACATCCATGGAAACCAGTGTGAAGACAGAGATCCTTGTCATTACCCCAATGTTAAAACTAAAGACTTCAGGGCCTGCTAGATTCCAATAAAGCAGTAGCAATCTACAGACCCATGGACTAAACTTAATTCTGAACATTGGTAACTATTAACCTAGTACTACATTTTCATTCTATCAGAGGAAGTAAAGTTTTGTTCTGTATCAATACATACATACACCACAGCATAATTAGAAAAGGAAAAACATCTTCACATCACCAACACAGTACCACAAATGATAAACAAGATCTCATGATCAAACTATGTGCATGGATCTCCATAATTATAACTCAGCTACAGGAGTATCAAACAAGCATAATCAAAGTTATAAACTTTCAAAAAGAAAACACATGAAGTTTGCTTGTACATAAGGATTTTCCAATGATAAATTCATGAAGAGAGATTTTAGTTCTTCACTTTGGTTCTTAAACTTCCACCATGCATGGAGTAAAGTGTTTTTAACGTCTTGCTCAAGTACATGAAATACTTGCATCATTATATTGGGATTTTAGAATTACTCTTGCTGACATCCAGTGATCACATCATAAACAAACCTGTCACCACATACATGTTAAAGTAAGGATGTAAATTTACTGGATCAATACTTGAATAACACTTGCACTTCAGCAGTCAATAAAAGTTACTGCTTGCAAATACCAGACACCTTTTATATATGACATCATCAACAATAGAAGTATCTTTGTCATTGCTACAGGAAATAGTCCAAACGGGAAATATATACTTTACAGACTTTATGGTTACAAAAGGTATTATATGTCACAGGGTTTTTTTTCTTTCTGGTTGAAACAGAATTGTAATGTTCAATGACTGTTTATCATTCATACCAGACAATAGTCAACTGAAACAGATGTTTGGCTTCTAAATGCAGTTACCTTCCTCAGCAAAAATGTTTACTGATTCTCCAAAATGTGAAATAAGATTGTTAAAACTAATAAACTGATAGAGATCAAAACTATATCATTTCCATTAACATTGGTTGGTTGGTCAGTTGTTATTTAATCCCGCACTCAGCAGTATTCCAGCTGTATGGTGCTGGTCTGTAAATAATCAAGTCTGGACCAGAAAATCCAGTGATCAACAGCATGGGTATCGATCTGTGCCGTATATATATGATGACTTGTGTAAATCAAGTCAGAAAAAATAAAAAGTTCCTTGAAAATATCTTCATGATTCATGAAACTGTTTTTACTAAATCTGCAACCAGTCAAATTAGCAGTTATCAAATTCCTTCTAGGAAACATTAATCATCGTTAAATATTACTTTAAAAAACTTTAAAAATATCATAATTAAGTCCAAAATAAACTAGCTTTTACAACTTTCATTAAGACATGTTAAAACTGAAAAGAAACCTCATCTCAAAACTTGAGTATATGACACACGCAAAATTGAACTGCATATAATGTGAGCTATTTAGAAAGCACACCACAATAACAAATCCCAACCTCTATACCATATATACTGTCAGAATTATTGCAATGTCTAATGTGGGTGTCTATTTAGAAACAGTCACCAAGACATAAACCTTGTAGATACACACAAGGCAATTTTAGATGATCAATATACATGCAAAGCAGGAATGATTCATAAACAGGGCCTTCAAACTGTAACACTTGATCACTTCAAACACACAAATTCACAAGTACAGGTCACAGCTGAAAAGACTGCATTCCGCTATTCAGCGAATATGTATTGTCAGTGGGTGTTCTCTGAGGCCATGCTGCTCTATAGACACTCGTTAATAACTTTTCACCACAGTGACAACTACAGCACAACCTCGACTCACTTCAGTGAGCATAACCTGAATAGATCTCAGATTCAATAGACCAACCTGACTATTTACAATGGGAAAGACATTCAAATTAACAGCATTTACAGTAGTATTACTAAAGAATAAACATATACAATAGCAATAAAGGGAACTTGAAATTCTTATTCTTTCATCCTGATTCACATCCCAATGAATTTTGGTGAAAATGAGCACAAAACAACTTGTATTGCTATTTATTTCTTTATTTGATTAACGTGCAAAATTTCTTGGAACAAAGTTGAAAAAATAATAAATCAAATTAATTCACATCAATTCCATAAAAACGTCAATAATCTGATATGGTCGCTACAGTCAAAATGTTTCCAAGAGATAGAAGTGATTAGTTCAGAATTTTATGTACCAAGACGACACAATATCAACATGGTGTATGAAATGGATTCCATCTGTAGGTCGGCCTTTGAAGATGCTACATTCTAACAACAGGCACGCATGTCTCAAAAGAAAGCGAAGACGCCGCTATCACTTTACAACAATAAAAAAACAACAAGAATTTCGCCGACACCAAACCAGCAATAGACAAGCGGTGCAAGCAGCCTTCTCTCTCCAATATTCTTGGTCGGGAAACATGACACCGCAACAGAAATTCCGACCAAGGTTTTGGTTCTTCAGTTTGGAGAAACCTATAAGATTCTAAGCTACATTAAACAGTTCCACCTGAGTTACGACGTTCGATAGCATGTAGGCCTAATGTACCTTGATTAATCAATACACTTGTCCTTAGAAACACGACGCTATACAGCATACCCTGTTGACGACTACAAAACTTTGTTGACATCCAAAAGTCCTAAGTAAGTTGCTTACCTTCAAAAATGATGAAAGGGAGTATGATCCAAAGACTGTCAGAACTTATTTTCGTTGATAGAAACATAGCTGACATTCTCTCCTATCGTTGTAATAATCACTCTGATTTTCCCAGCGATATCGTAATCACTTTAACCAATGTCGATACATCATTCTTGTAAATCCAGAAGTATATTATAACTTGTTCTAAAGCTTCGCTAGCAGATGACACGATGATTGCCGCTGCTAAACGCAGAGTCACGTGGTTTGCCTCGCTCAAAACTAACAGTGACGCTATATTTAGATCACATACTATTTCCCTATAACCTGTTATACACCGTCGCCTACGCTGCGGGCTTCTACGGGAAGATTATTTCAGCGCTGAAATTCCGAAGTGTCGCTATAATAAAGTAGACCAATTCAAAACAGACATTAAACAGGAATCAACAGCACAAATGAAAAATAACAGAATCATTCAATAAAAAGAACCTGTAGTAATTTTGAGGTCGTTCCTATAGATGAACGCCAATAAAACTACGGAGTATTGATTTCTGTTCTGTAGCAGTGTCCTTCAGTCCAGAATGCCTGTTAATATTATTGCTTATTTTATTCAGTCTCAAGAGGGAAATAAAAGTGAGAATATCAAAATAATGAATGAAATAAAACAAATTTAAACCAAAGAAGTCGTCATGAAGACACTGAGGTAAAGAAGAAAATTAGAATATAAAGTGGGATTATTTCTCGAAATTTTATTGGAGCAAATCTTATTTTGTCTCCGGGGTAGCGGCTTTTTATACAGACGCTCGATTAGGTTTGTAAATTATGTTGGTGAGGCATGTCGGAGGCATGACTACAAGATCCCTAGTTGCATAGCAATATTACTTAGGGAAGTTAAAATGTAGGCTCCTAACTTGAGTCTCGGGAGGAAGGAGAAATTTAAATGAAAGAAAGCCTGATAAGACTATTGTATTTTGAGAGTAAACAACAGACATATCTCGTGATGCATTTACTTACATATAATATACACATTCTGCACAGTCTTTACGCCATGCACTTTGTGGTATATTTTGTCAATACTACGTTTCTAATATTTACATTAAAGTTTCCTTCTGTATTTTAACTCAACACATGCAGACTCTAGAAGCAGTGCAAATTTTGTTCTCACTGGATGAGAGTCTATGCTGAAGAACATTGTCGATACATCACCGGGAAAACTGAAATGTTTACTGTTTACATGCTGTAACATACTTCGTGCTTTTTCATCACTAAGATAATTTGATTGAACATGGGGTTTTCAGGTAAATTGCCAGTCTTAACACCAGATGGTGTACAGTTTCGGAGAGAAATTAGACAAAATAACAAAGAACCTACAAAAAGTGTTGTGACAATAAGGCGCGTCGCGACCTGGACACTCATATCTAATACGTTGTGCGGCTGATAGTAGCGACGCTTGATAGCACTTTCCGATGTAGAAATTCCATAAGGGCATTGAGAAGCTACAATAAAACATTGATCACATAGAAAGACGACATTAGGCTTTGAACTCGCAGGGGAAATGCATTAGCTATGCTCGTAAAAGATATTTGTACTAAAGCAACACACACACATTTACTTCAGGGAAGGCGAAGGTCTGAGAAATCAAAATGATCACCCAAGCTATTGTCATGTCGCGCGACGCTTTACTAATGGTTAATTTAGCGCATTATTTTCACACAGGGAGTTGGGAGCGTGACGGCAAGGTTTTACTTGTCAACCTCAGCGCAGTGGGTGGTCATACACAGTTGACAAACATACAGTTTAGGTAAAAAGATAGTTACTATTTATCGATAATCATGAGAACTTGTTTGAGAAAAACATTCATCTGAATAACCAATTGGAATGTTTGATTGGCTGGTTGATTGGCATTAGTCTGTGATGAAGACATTCTAAACTCAATACAATGATAATGGGACGTGTCTTCACGATACGCTAAGTGTCGTTCTTGTTCTTTTCAACAAAACCAATTAATAATAAAAACTATGCACGTTGTATGCCATGTTGATTCAAATTAATGGCGGTTTCCGTGTGCTTTCGTTTGCTTGAATCCTTCGGGACTGCATATGGCGTAATTCTATTTCGCGAAGAAATATGATGTGTGTTTATTTCTGTCTGCTGTATACGTCATGATTAGTTGGTCTACACTTTTATGTGATCACAGAGACAAATGTGTGTATAATTACTTCATAGTTATGAGTATCTTTTTTGACACAAACATATAAAGTGAGTGAGTAAGGTATATAACGGCGCTTCAAGCAGTAATATAACAGTATCAAAGGGAGACAAAAAAAACCATGTTCCAACTGTAACACGGAAGCGTAATACACTGTACTGTAATAGGCTGTTTATATTGCCATAGCAAAGGCATATCAGTAGTTGAAGATGAATACCACTTATTGATGGTTTGTCAAGGTTATAAAGATGCAAAAACTGAATGCTTCCCACCATACCTAGCTATATATTGGTAACCCGTGTAAGGATAGTTACTTGTGTCATGAAATGATGTTTCGATAAGTATTGCTAAGTTTTCAGATAAAGACTTACATAAGATTCACATTTGCCTGTACAATGTGCAGAAATGTTTTCATAGTTTTCAAATGTATGGCTGTTATTGGTTTTCCCTGCATCACATTAAATGTAACTTTTTTCTGTAATGTGGCCCATGGCTTTATGTACTGAATAAAAGCTGTCAGTCTGTCTGTCTGGATCTTACTTTGACACAAATATATAAAGTGACAAAGGGACACCGGAAATGGGCTTAACACATTGTAGCCATGTACGGAATTGAACCCTGGTCTTCGGCGTGACGACAGCTTTAACCACTAGGCTACCCCACCGCACCAAATATATAAAGATCCGTGAACTATGCGCGTATTTGATGGTATCTAAATATGAAACCATTAAAACAAAGAAATGGGACGTTATTTTATGCTTATTTTGTTGATATGGCTATCCCAGTTGTGTTTCGGATATTACGTTTGCAGTGTTCCGGTAATTATATTCAGCCCAGTAACGAACTTGTAACAAGTAATATAAGAACTTTTCCGACAACACGTCACGCCGTCAACATTAGACATGTTCCCCTCCTCACAAACACCCCATGTCACGCCGTCAACATTAGACATGTTCCCCTCCTCACAAACACCCCATGTCACGCCGTCAACATTAGACATGTTCCCCACCTCACAAACACCCCATGTCACGCCGTCAACATTAGACATGTCCCTCACCTCCAACACACCCCATGTCACGCCGTCAACATTAGACATGTTCCCCTCCTCACAAACACCCCATGTCACGCCGTCAACATTAGATATGTTTCCCTCCTCACAAACACCCCATGTCACGCCGTCAACATTAGACATGTTCCCCTCCTCACAAACACCCCATGTCACGCCGTCAACATTAGATATGTTTCCCTCCTCACAAACACCCCATGTCACGCCGTCAACATTAGACATGTTCCCCATCCTCACAAACACCCCATGTCACGCCGTCAACATTAGACATGTTCCCCACCTCACAAACACCCCATGTCACGCCGTCAACATTAGACATGTTCCCCACCTCACAAACACCCCATGTCACGCCGTCAACATTAGACATGTTCCCCTCCTCACAAACACCCCCATGTCACGCCGTCAACATTAGACATGTTCCCCTCCTCACAAACACCCCATGTCACGCCGTCAACATTAGACATGTTCCCCTCCTCACAAACACCCCATGTCACACCGTCAACATTAGACATGGTCCCCTCCTCACAAACACCCCATGTCACGCCGTCAACATTAGACATGTTCCCCACCTCACAAACACCCCATGTCACGCCGTCAACATTAGACATGTTCCCCTCCTCACAAACACCCCATGTCACGCCGTCAACATTAGACATGTTCCCCTCCTCACAAACACCCCATGTCACGCCGTCAACATTAGACATGTTCCCCACCTCACAAACACCCCCATGTCACGCCGTCAACATTAGACATGTTCCCCACCTCACAAACACCCCATGTCATGCCGTCAACATTAGACATGTTCCCCACCTCACAAACACCCCATGTCACGCCGTCAACATTAGACATGTTCCCCTCCTCACAAACACCCCCATGTCACGCCGTCAACATTAGACATGTTCCCCACCTCACAAACACCCCATGTCACGCCGTCAACATTAGACATGTTCCCCACCTCACAAACACCCCATGTCATGCCGTCAACATTAGACATGTTCCCCCTCCTCACAAACACCCCATGTCACGCCGTCAACATTAGACATGTTCCCCACCTCACAAACACCCGCATGTCATACCGTCAACATTAGACATGTTCCCCACCTCACAAACACCCCATGTCACGCCGTCAACATTAGACATGTTCCCCACCTCACGAACACCCCCATGTCATACCATGAACATCACCGTCAACAGTATGTCATGCCGGTGATGTTCCCCACCTCACACCTCAAGCGTTAGACATGTTCCCGTTGGGCATGTTCCCCTCACAAACACCCCCATGTCATACCGTCAACGTTAGGCATGTTCCCCACCTCACAAACACCCCCATGTCATACCGTCAACGTTAGGCATGTTCCCCACCTCACAAACACCCCCATGTCATACCGTCAACGTTAGGCATGTTCCCCACCTCACAAACACCCCCATGTCATACCGTCAACGTTAGGCATGTTCCCCACCTCACAAACACCCCCATGTCATACCGTTAACGTTAGACATGTTCCCCTCCTCACAAACACCCCCATGTCATACCGTCAACGTTAGGCATGTTCCCCATCCTCACAAACACCCCCATGTCATACCGTCAACGTTAGGCATGTCCCCCTCCTCCAACACAGCCCCATGTCATGTCGTCAACGTTAGACATGTTCCCCTCCTCACAAACACCCCCATGTCATACCGTCAACGTTAGACATGTCCCCCTCCTCACAAGCACCCCATGTCATACCGTCAACATTAGACATGTTCCCCTCCTCACAAACAACCCCATGTCATACCGGTAACATTAGACATGTTCCCCTCCTCACAAACAGCCCCATTTCATACCGTCAACGTTAGGCATGTTCCCCTCCTCACAAACACCCCCATGTCATACCGTCAACATTAGACATGTTCCCCTCCTCCAACGACACCCCATGTCATACCGTCAACGTTAGGCATGTTCCCTCCTCACAAATACCCCCATGTCATACCTTTAACA